AGTTTCTGCGTCTCAGCGCCACCAGCTGGTGAGAGGTGGTGACGTCAATTTGAACCCCGCCCACTGGAACCGGTACTGAAAGCATAATGGAAACACAACCTGTACCGTACCGAGTAGAGTAGAGTAGAGCCGGGCTGTACCGGCCCGTACCGCTACTAATGGAAAAGGGGCATTAGACAGGTTAATCCCACTGAGCCTCGGGGACTCATTTACAAAAGAGACCTGATTTCTTAACACAATATTATTTTTCATTTTGCACAGTCTGATATATTTGAAATGTTTATTTTTTTAATGTTGATGATTATAACTGACAACTAATGAAAACCCCAAATTCAGTATTTCAGAAAATTAGAATATTGTGAAAAGGTTCAATATTGAAGACACCTCGTGTCACACTCTAATCAGCTAATTAACTCAAAACACGTGCAAAGGTGGCATCCTCTATTGATCGGTTCTCACGGTATGCATACTGATGAGAGTCCTCATTGATGTTGATGCTTGTTTTGATATGGGTCAGGACCAGTTTTTCGAAGCATTTAGCAACTATTGCGGTGAGGGCCACTGGCCGATAGTCATTCAGACCAGTCACTGTAGAGCTTTTTGGGACTGGAATGATGGTGGCAGTCTTCAGGCAGATGGGAACTGTCACCAGGGTAAGTGAGGTGTTAAAGATGTCTGCCAGCACCTCGCAGAGCTGATTGGGATATTCTTTCAACACTTTTTCGGGGATGTTGTCTGGGCCGATTGCCTTGTGTGGATTAATCCTCCTGAAGGTACTCCTTTCTTCTGCTGAGGTCACGCTAAGACGCCCTTCATCTGGTGGTGAGGTGAGTCTGGTGCTGGGTGGTCTGTTTGGGTCTTCAAAGCGTGCATAGAACTTGTTGAGGGCATCAGGCAGAGATGGATCTTTGGGGCATTGTTTACTCCTTTCTTTATAATCTGTTAAGCACTTAATGCCCCTCCACATGTTCCAAGGGTCTTGTGAGGTGAATTGACCCTCGATCCTCTGTGCATATGTGGCCTTGGCCTTCTTAATACCAGCAACCAGCTCTTTCCTGGTCCTACTCAGCTCCTCTGAGCTTCCAGACCTGAAGGCAGTGTTCCTGGCTTCCAGCAGGGTGCACACCTCTGCATTCAGCCATGGTTTTCTGTTTGGGTAACTTTTAACATATCTGATAGTGGAGACGGTGTCAGTACATGTACTAATGTAACCCAGAACTGAGGATGTGTATTGGTCCAGGTCAAGCAATCCTCCATTTTCAGCAGCTTCTCTGAAAACTTGCCAGTCTGTTCTTTCAAAACAATCTCTCGGTATGGGGCCACTGTCCTGGATCCAACATTTAACTTTCTTTTGTACCGGTTTGGCCAGCAGGTAGATGATGGTGTCATCAAGTCCAATGCGTGGCTGGTATGAGAACTGGAGGGGGTCCAGGTATGGTTCCACCACAGATCTGACGTGCTTTAGGACCAGCCTCTCCAGTGACTTCATGTCATGTGATCTCAAGACCACAGGTCTGTAGTCAGTGTGGGAGTTTGGGTGGTTATTTTTCGGCACCGGGACCAGGCATGTTGTTTTCCACAGAGCAGGGACCACCCTCATGCTCAGGCTCAGGTGAAAAATGTGCCACAAAACTTCACACAGCTGAGCTGCACATCCTTTCAGGAGTTTGGGGCTCAATCCATCTGGACCTGCAGACTTGCTTGGACATAGACGGCATCCTCACAGCCCCCCTGCTGATGGTGATTGGAGGTTCTGATGGTGGAGGGGGAGGTGTATTAGGTGAAGGGGGTTCCATTATGTTTTTGCTGATGAGGAGGGGAGGGGTTGTCTAAGGGGTGTGGTGGCCCCCTGAAAGGTGTAGGATGAGGTGCAGTTCGTCCTGCCATACAATGCAGTGTCTTCACTCAAACTTTGCCGGCAAATTAAAACTGAAGCTTAATCATTAAACTATTACCATCTTTAAACACTGCTTGTACCAATTAAATTAAATAAAAAGTAACACACACACGTACTCTATCACTGCCATTAATCAGCTAACAAACAAGCAGCAGCTTCAGCTACCAGAGAGACTGACGTTACATTTTCTCACTTGGAAAAGAACAAATGTAGGATATTGTAGAGACTTACCTGCCAACGCATGACGAGTTGGGAATGAGACATGTACTATCTGCTGCTGAGCTCCCTTGACTCCAACATGTTTACGTTTATCTTTGTGGTGCTCCCGTGTCGTGTCGTCACTTTTTCAAAGCTGCATGTTGCGTAGTTTTTATCTTTGTGAAGCGTCAAGTGCTCCCACACTTTTAAGGACTTCGGTCGAATCGTTTTCTCTGCGTCAGTCATTTGTAAAATTTACTTAATTTCCTTTGAAAACACTGCCTTTGCTCTGTTCAACTCGCGCTGCAGTTTTTTTTTTTTAAACTTTATTAGGGATTCTCCAATCCACTTTTTTTTTTTTTTTTTTACTTCGATCCGATCCCTATACCTAAATGTAAATATCGGCCGATACCGAGCCAGTTCCAATATCATGATCATCATTGATTTTATATGAGGCTGTAATAATCTCTTCTCAAGTACAATTTGTACAAATATATGCATGCATGTCCAAAAAGGCAACTTGAGGTAAGTTTTATTAATGTTGGATAAGTTTTAAAGTTAGAATTAAATTCTGCTAACACAAAACATGTTTATTTTTATTCCCTAGCTTTAAAGTGGATATTAAAGTGATTAATTTAAGTGATTGTTTAAAGTTATTTTACAAACCGGATTCCAAAAAAGTTGGGACACTAAACAAATTGTGAATAAAAACTGAATGCAATGACGTGGAGGTGCCAACATCTAATATTTTATTCAGAATAGAACACAAA